AAGAATATTGAAATTAATTTTTGGTAAATAATTTTCTATACAAAAAATTTTAAATTACTGTTAATCGAATTCTGTGTTATGAAATTCCGCAAAAATTTTTGAAAATTTCAGAAAATTACTTTAGAATTTCAGATGATGTAAAAAATTGCGTATGGTAGATGGAGCGATTGCCGACCCAATTAACTATGTGAGTTAACACAAGTTTGACCTTAAAATTTTTATCCGCAAAATTTAATAATTAGGTAGCAAAATCTAAATTTTTTGAATTTAAAATTAAATTTTATTTGAAAATTATCTTAAAACTAAAATATGATATACAAAATTTGGAGGTGCGGGTCTTGGTCTAAATTATTCTTGCTATTGGATTTCTACTCTATTCAGTTAGTATCAGTTTTTAGTTAGTAACAGTTCTTATTGTTACCTTATCTTCATGAGTATAAAAACAATTAAATTTCGACATTGTTACTTTGAAATGCTTGAAATTCTTAAATTTTTCTTATAGTATAATTAATTAATACATATAACTACTATATACATATGTATCCTCAAGACATAATATAAAAAAAAGTAAATTAATTACGAAATGGTAAAGTAAATTAAATAAATAAAAAGTACATATGTATTAGAAGTAATATTATATACTCATGTATTTTAAAACGAATGACCTTTATTTATCTGACCATTGGTGCAGTGGTTATGGCACCGGTCCTTTAACCGAAAGGTTTCGGGTTCAAACCCCGGTCAGGTCACTATAAAAATTATATTCAATATTGTTATAACTTAATATACAATACTAATAAATATTATACAAGTAATTTTCAAATATTCGTAATATTCCATATTAAAAAAAAACTAAGAAAAATAAACAGTAAATATTAATAACCTCAAATAATTAATATAAATAAAACTACGGCAGATTAGTTACCTACCTAGTTAAACTCTATGACGCTATGAAACTAGTACATCAGAAATCATGCACTAGCCCTATGCTCCTTCTAAATAAATTTTAAATATTTTTTAATTTTAAACAAAAAATAATATTGCCTATTTGAACATTTTAATTAAGAGATCGAACAAAAAATTTATTATGAAATTAAAATTATTTATTAAATTATTAATTATAACATAAAATTAGACAAAAATGTTTGAAATATATAAAAAATAATAATTTGGTGGCCCCTATTAAACAGATCAGGTCTAAATAACCGCACCACTAATATTAAATTAGCGAATTGTGGATCACATAATAAAATGAGAATTTTAAATTAATAATAGTCAATAAATATGTACATATTATGTGCAGTAGTTGATCAAGTTGAATTTCCGACTAATAGTTAGAAAATTTGTCTATTATATTAGCATAATTTTATTTATTTAAATTGCCCAAAATGGTAATGGTAAAGTAAATCTTTAAAGTATGGGAAGCATAATTTAATTTAATTATAATACAGCAATTTATTCTCGAAATCAATACGTAATCCCCATAAGCCCATACATATTATAATATTTCAAATAGTAACATTTATTCTTTAATTTACGGGGCTCAACAATTTTATTCTAGAAAGTAATTAAATTAAAAAATCTAAATTTTATTTTAAGATATTTTAAATAACTACACAATAAATTAAAATATAGGATTTTAAAAATTTTTACCATAAATTTGTTTTACGACCTTCTAATGTAAATGAAACTATACTAGTCCCAGTAATATCGATTAGAAATAAAAGGAAACTCTATATGCAGTATACAAAAGTAATCCTGGAAAGCGAACAAAAAGAGAATCATTCCTTTTTCCTTAATTTAAAAATCATATTAAAATAAGATTATAATTTTTTTATCCAAATATTTTTAAGCACTGATACACATGTCCTTTTCCATATTTTTTTTTAATTTTTTTTTTTTTTGGTTTCGTTTTTTTAGGTAAAAACGTAAAAAAAAAAGAAACAACTATAAAATTAAACTTTAAAATTCAATAATATGAATGAATTCATATATATAGGGTTCAAATTCATATATACAACACTTGAAAATTTTATGGACAGAAACCCAAATTGTACCAAAGTAAGTATAAAAATTTTTTTGCAAACACACAAAAAAAATCAAAATAAACATATATAAAGTAAAGGTATTTCGCCTTCTACATAAGATTTCCAGGATAATAGCATTTAAATCCCTCTATATTTATGTAAACAAATTCGATATACACACATAGAAGAAGATATATAGATATAAAAGTAAAAATACGGAATATTTATTTATATATTATACTAAGAACAAAATTTAATTTTATGCCAGACGTAAAGGCACCAGAAAGAAAAAAATTCTTTAAACTTGTTTTATACCAATGTCATTTACACTGTACAAATACAAGAAATTTTATAAACCACTGAGTGTTCCGTATTATTTGGTTGGTTTAAATTTAGTTCACATTTTTAGTGAAATAATTCGCAGTTAAGCAGGATTCATTAGTTCGTCGTTTTGGAGCTGTGCTATTTAAAGTAAAACTATTTTTTTTCTTGATTGTTCATTGGTTCGTTTGGAAAAAGGTGATCGTTTTTTTTTTTTTTGTTATGATCCATTTATTACTTTTTTGACAGGAATTATATATGTAATTGTAGTAGTTCAGTATACTTATGTAAAATTGAAGTTGGTTCTTCTTTTGAGAGAGAGAAAATAAGCTGTACTAAAAATAAAGAGAATTCAAAATACATCAGCTCGTCGTTTAGCGGACCAACCAATGAATCTCTTATTCTTAATATGATTTACAAGCAATAAATCGAAAACTAAAACATACATTATACCAAATTTACTATGAAAATGTTATAACCTACAAGTATGTAATATTTTGAAATCTATATAATATTTTATATTTTATAAACTTTACCACGAAAAGTTTTTACACAAATTCGGTATTCGGCAGCTATAGTCTAAGCTGGATTATAGGCGATATCATTAATTAATTGAATTTAAATTAATTTAACAAATCTGATGGCAATATATTAATTTTCAAACCAGAAAAATACGAGAAAATAATTTTTTAACACACAATTTATGTGGAAAATGTTATAAACAAAATTAATAACATTTTCCACTTAAATTCTTTAAATTTAAAGCTAAGGAAATTTAATTGAATTTTTTCTGCTGCATATTAAAGAAAATACTATTTGAACATTAACATTTACATTCGATAAATAGTACAATACTAAAAAAATACAGAAGCATTTAAAAAAAAACATCGATTTCGGAACATCCAGTACAAGTAACATAAAAATCCTTTTGTTTTTATAAAAAATAAAATGAGATATCAAAAAAGGAAGTATATATGAGTATGTAAAACCAAACATACATAATATACATACATAATTCTCTAGGATATTTCTTGAATGAGATTTAAATTTGAAAATAAAAATGAAATTTTAAATAAAAATTACTAAAAAACAAAATGGGATGCACAGCAATATGTCGATGTTTTTAGGTGTTATTCTGTTATATACTTAAATTATTCCTTTATAAGTGGCATATTGTAATTTGAAGGTGGGATAAGTAATTTTTGGAAGCTCTATTAGACTGTAAAATACTCAATATAAGAACGCATTCTAGCACTATATTTATGAGAATGCTGAATATTGTGCACCAACGATTAACATGTGCTTCATATTAAATTTCAATGAACTGAGAGAGAAAAAAGGATATTTGATTGTTTTCTTAGGATAACAAAATTGTTACTATATAGAATGAAAAATTAATATTTATTCATTTGCTACATTTTTAAGTTAGAAAAAAAATCTTTTTTTCTAAAATTTCATTTTGAAGGAATCAAATTTCTTTAAAGAAAATATGAAAAATGCAATTTAATTAGGGAGTTTTGAAATTTCCTCTAGTTTTTCTTATTTTTTTTTTTTTGGTTAATTTTCTGCTTTAATTAAATTAAGAACGAAATTGGTTTAAAAATCAAACAAGAAATTATGTGTTATATAAGTTATAGACGTTCATAATAACTTCAGAGAATCTAAACTTTATAAATCTAACGATTTATATACTTGATATAAAATAAAATTTAGAATTTAGAAAGAAAAGGATTGAAAATATTTTTTCTATATTAACCTAAATCAAATAATATTTTCTTTATTTTGAAATCTACATACATTTTACGAGTATATGAGTGATTTAAAAAATTTAATAATAATTTCAAAAATTTTAAGGGCAATGGAAAAACTGTTAATTACTTCCAATGATTTTATTTACAATCAAAATGTTTTCACATTTTTTGTCTTTGTAAAAATTCCAAATTTAATTTATACATTTATTTACAATTACGGTATCCTTTCTTTGTAATATCAAGCAATTTTTACAATCACAACAAAATCTAAGCAAAATAAACATATCATTTGCTAAAAATAAATCTATTCAATGTCCGTATGTGTACCCTAAGATTGTCAAAATATACAACATTCAAAAAATTGTTGATCTATTCTAATTTTAATACACATAATTATAAGAGTATAAGAGTTTAGATACACACCAAACTCTGTTAGTTTTCTACACTATATGCTCTTGTTTGTACAAGAGTTTTATAATTTTAAGATTTCACAGCATGAAACAATTTTGTATTATGTATACGAATAACAAAAATATTTTCATAAAAACAGAAAATGAAAAAAATATTTAAGGACAAGAAAAATTTTTTTAGAGAAATTTTAGAAGCAGACAGAATGTCTCCATTTACAAAATTTTAATTGCTGTCCTTATAAACCCAATAACAAAAAGAAAACAAATAAAAGTGAAAGTAAAAATAGGTTCCTATGTATGTGCTTGCACGTATATACACACACAAATAAACTAACATACTGTTTATCTTACTACATTTAATATTTTTCTTCTTTCTTCTATAGACATTTAATTGTAAAGTAATTGAAAATAAAATCATATTGATTGTAGAGATTAAATGAAAATTGAAATATTTTTATTTGTTAAATTTTTGTAAATTTTTTTATCGAAAATTAATGTCTAAATTCCTCTTTAATAACAGTCTACAGTTTAAATTTAAAAATATAGCAAAAATTAGCTTAGTTTTATAGTTTTATTTTAATAAGATTTAAGAAAATTTTGAAGAACTTTAAAGATGCGTTGCATAATTGAATGGTTGATATGAAAACCTCTAAGTAAAACTAGTATCTATATACTCATAAAACTCAAATAACTCATACAAAAGCAAAATGAATGTACCCGAGACGCAATTGAAACCAATTACTCGTATACCATCTAAATCAAAGTACATATTGAGAAAATAAGCCTATATAAAAGTTTATATTCTAACGTAGTGTAGATATACATTTTGAGGTAATATTGATACAAATTTGGCAATGAAACTAAATAAATTATACTAATCTGCAGACTCCGGCAGCTCAAGATGACAACTCTATAGATACAAATCTGGAGATATCCAATTAAATTTTAAAATTGTAAATTATATACATAGGTATTTTGAATATACTAAAAAATAATTCATTTAGGTGGCTCAATCTATGTCTCATACTATCATAGAATCAGGTAAAAGGGAATAAATATCTCGTAAACATATCACATAATTTCCAACTGAATAATTTTTTTAGTTTTAATAATTTTTCAGTAAATTTAAGTGAATATATAAAAATTGCAGTCACTTAAAATGAAAACTGAGTGGAAGAAAAATGAACTCTAATTATTTGTGAAGAGTATTTTTGATAAAGTGAAAGGATAAAATGAGGATATTCGATTATCAATTAAAATTTGATTTGTCGTGTACCTATACTCGTAATTTTTATAACAATTAAATTTTCTTTAATAATAACCTTATCGTATGTAAATCAAGTTCAATAAATTTTTAATCGAAACAAAATAAATAATTACTATTGTTCTATCGGCAAAAGAGCCTACTGTGGTTTTTTCAAAAAAGGATCATTGAAATATTGTCCAGTCCATTCTGTTCTGTTAAAGTTCGGAATCTTGTGTGTACACCTATATATAATGAAGAACTTTAAATAAGAATTTATGTAGGTACATGTTATATGTATAAACAACATATGTATATGTATTTTATTGTCTGTATCTTATTTTCCCATGCATCCTTACGCAGATGCATTTTATAACATGATAATTTTAAGATAAAAAACAAATATGTAAATCTAATTTACTCATGTTAATAACAGAATATTGAGAAAAAGAAAAACAACTTCTTAAAAAAACACCGACAAATTCGATTTGTACTCGAATTACTATTAACACCCGCTAAAAAACTCTTAAACAATTCACTAAATTTTTTTTTTCAAGAAAGAGAAGAAAATTGGTTTCAGATAATTTTTTCTTCAAATATTAACCGATGCATTCAATCGAAAAATTTTTATGCTACTATCTTGTCAATTTAAATATAATATTTCAATTTTATCGGTTATTTAACGGATGGGTCTTTCTTAATTATTTTAGTAATCCAAATTAAAATTTAAAATTTTGTTTTTAATAAAACGAAAAAACTATATGATGTTATTTGCCCTAGATTCTAGTGAGGACCTCAAAAAATAAAACAAAAAGAAAATTGGAGTTAAAATCTGAGAATTAATAAAATAATATGTGAATTAAAATTTATTTATAAAGAAAATCTGGTTTTATATGATATATATATATATATATTTATCATATAAAACCAAATATTGCTACAGGTAATTGCATAGATATTGCTAAAGGTAATATAAAAAAATTTCGGATACATTCAAAATTTATTCTGGTAAATAAGTCTCAAATTTTGTAAGTTGCAAGTTATCTAAGACGCTTAATCTTGCGTGTATAAATAATGTTTATAAGTAAAGTATAAAATATAGAGTAATTTGTATTTATAATGCGATATTTGCAAAAGTAAGTTAAAATATCATAAAAATATGTAAGGAGATACTAGTCGTCTAAAACTGACAAAATAATGAAATATATAACTATTGAAAGTTTCTGAATGAAATTGCGAATAAACTTTCAAAATGCAAAACATCAGCATTTCAAATAGAGCAGTCAGGATTCTCGCGATGGATCAAGCGGAAATGGTATTTTTGACTGAGATATGTTGGTAAGTAATTTTGATATAAGAGATTAAAATAGATTGATTAAGAGTTAAATTTAAGAAAACTATAATCTAAAGTGTTTGCGAAGTTTTGATAATAATAATGGGCGAACCAAAAAAATTAACCAATAATGCAACTTTTTTGTTAATAAAAGAACGTTTAAAATATGTAGAAATATATAGTATTATTATTTTGATTGTCAATTTATTGATAAAGTTAATTACCTTCTTTGTTAGTTTTATTCATTGTTGATTGTTGTAAATTTTTCAAATGTTTTTGGTAAATTTTCTTTTGTTCTATAAATGCAGTTAAAGTTTGTTTATTCATTTTTGATGTTAAATCAGTTTCATCTTCCTGTCCATTCTTCAATGAATTATTATCGGCTGATTGTTGTCTTCTCAAAGCAACTTGAGCTGCCATTACTCTTTGTCTTTCAACAACTAATTGACATTGTGGACACTGACATTCCCTCCATCGGCATAATTTTTTATGTCCTTTTAAACAGGATATAACTCCATGATTACGACATCTAGCACATTTTGGTGTTCGAAGTAAACGCCTTTCTTTAGTTGATGATGTTATTTGATTCATATTATTGTTGTGTAATATATTGATCGTTATTATGTTAAATGATTGACTTGTAGAGTTATTTTGTTTAATTGATTATTCTTAATTTATTAACTGCTGAAATAGTGGTGCAATATATGGCACTATACTAATTGACATTGATATATTAATGAAAATAATCAAAAGTTTATTCGCATATTATTTCATTTGAGAAAATAGGGAAGAAAAATTTAATACAACATACTACGTAATCTTATAGAAAAAATATTAAAATAGAAATCGCAAAATATAAGCTTAATTTTTTTCAAACACAGAGAAAATCTTATTCATCAAATCACTGATCACTATTTTTTAGAAAGACACTCAATTTTTTTTCGGCATTCATTATATACAAATTATTAAATTTTCTCTCTCATCGGTAAAATCTACATAAACTTCTTTTTTTATACTTTGCATCAATAGTATATTAGGCCCAATTTAATGTCTTAGATATTTGTTAAGCATTTTAATCATTAAACAGAAATAATTCTCAAAATTATTAGGTTACAATGTTAAAACATTTGAAATTGATACAAAGATTAATTACTTAATTATTCACTAATCTAATCACAACATTTGTTATATTTTTTTTTAATTTTTTTATGGCCTCAATAATAACTATATAAGTTTGTAAAATCCTTTAAATCATCTAAAATGACTAAATAGCTAACGAATTTGAAGCTTAACAGCATTCGCAATTTGTGTTATTATAATTTTCCAGTTATTAAAAAAACCGAAACAATTGTAAATTCTTTATGTTTAATATCGCGTTTTACAATCAGCAGAACGTAAATAAGATTTGAATAATATTAATCTACTGAAAATATAAGTCAAAAATTCTTCTTTTATATATTTTGTTTCAAAAATTTCCGATATTCTAAAAATAGATTTAAACTTGTGAAAACATATTAAAGAGCACAGTAGAATTTCAGTCTTTTCATCATGTGTTTGGTCTTTATTCATTGGCTGCTGAGATCGTTTAGTAGGAGGAGCAAGTTTTAATATTAAAAATTTTTCATTTTGAAAATTTCGAGTTAAATGATAAATTTAAAAGTTCTTATGTTTTATATATTTTTAATATTAACCCACTTATTAATTTTGACATTAAACCACTTAATAAAATTATTTGTTAAAATTTAATTTAATTCCCGCCATGTTTTACATTTTGATTTTCGGTGATTGAATTAAAATTAATGTATAGGGCTTCAATTTAATTGTTATATAACTAATAATAATTACGAGAATTCCTGTTAACATTAAACATATTCATTTAAATATTCAACTTCTTAGATTTTTGTTTTTCAATTTTTATCTTCATTCGATTTCTGAAATTGATCCTGCTTAAATCTTAGAAACATTTTTCCAAGACTTTATTAATTAAATTAATAAATCAAAAAAGAGTGCATCTGTACTACTTACATAAATTTGTCTTTTAAAAAACCTAGTTTTAAAATAAGCAGAAAAAAACATATAGTCAATAGGGTAAGAAATTAGTTATTTATTAACAAAAACAAAAAGAAAAACAATTAATTTATTAAAATTTAATTGCAAAATTTAATTTCAAACAAATATTACTATATTTTTGTTCTTTTGCAACAATGCTAACGATTTTTCGCCTTCGTTTCTACATTTTAAACTTAAAAATTCGATCAACAAGGTAGACTGCTTTGAAATGCGGCAAGTAATGGCGTTACTATAAAAACATTAAAATATGGAATATTAAATTTTAATTGCGATTTTAAAACATAGCTACTTACAAAATTCTTTTTGATTCCAATAAACTTCATTATTTAGACTTTTAGCTAAATATGAATGACATTTAACATATGTCCCTTCAATTGATTTAATATCATCAATCATATCCTTTTGACTAACAAGTTCGTTATGTTGACTACCATCCAATTCATCATCGCTGTAATAATTTTGATCTAAATTTTGTACACATATCTTCCATTGTTCTCTAACAACGTAAGTTAAATTAAATAATTGTTCTACACCAGCTTTCACGGTTTCGAAGTGTGATGACAATAGACATTGCTCGTAGATTGTCTTTACATAAGATTTATGAATACATTTCAGTTCAGCTAAATTCGCACAATTATTAATTTTTTCATCTAATTGATTTCCCATAGCGTGTAAAACGGCCGTCATTATGTGCGACTGTATGCAATGTAAACTATACATCATCCATAAACGTAGCTGCTCCAACTGTCGCATATTTAAATCTATCAAACGAAATGTAGCATATGGTAAACGATTTTTATGAACCCTTGCAAATCTCAGATTTTCTAATGTCCAAATTGACCACTTTATTTTTAATAAAAAATGAAAAACTGAAAACAAGAGAAGAATTTAATGTATTTCATGAATTTAAAGCTAAAAAAAATCTAGTTAAAAAAATGATGGTTTCTAAATTAAATTAAGTTATTAAAAGAATTTGTAGCATTTGTTTACCATCATTGTAATATTTCATAATCTCATCAGTTATAATGTTTTTCAATTCCTTTCGCACATTATATGCAATGATTATTTCATCAACAGCGTCAATAACCTATTAATGTTTTGAAAACACAATTATACAATTGATGATTGATATTCCTCTTAAATACTTCACCTTAGTCGTTTTGCATTTAAATGCTGAATTTATATCAACTTTGAAAAGTAGCGATAATTCTGGAAATTTTGCTGTTAAAATATCATCAAGTTGAACAGTCAATGTGAACGGATTTGCCCACAACTTCTCGTTTTCAATCTATTTGAATAAAATTACTCCACATTAAACATCTTTTTGAAGAATAAAAATATAATCAACTTACATCAGAAAATATTTTTTGATAAAAAAATTGCATTAAATCTCCAGCTTCTAATAACAAAACTTGCCTAATATTTTGCAAATGTTTTCCAATTTTAAAATCTTCGCGATACATTTTCATAACAAAGCTATTAGTAAATGAAATGCGATATGAAAGAATTTTCGAAATTGAGCTTAAAATAATCTCCTCTAGAGGTATTGTTATGTGTGAAGTATCGTTTAGTTTTTCATATAACTTATAAGTTTTCTTAAATTTATCTAAGCAATCTGATTCCGATTTCTTTTCTGTTGAGCTTAAATTAAAATTACATGAAAAAGCCATTAATAAAAACTCATCAGTAGTTGGAGCACACTGTGCTAGAAAATTTCTATTCGAAAGTTTTTCAGCTAAATTAGCACCGTCATCTTGGTCATTTTTTTCTAACTCGTACTGACATATAGCTTTGCAAGTTTCTTTAGATAAAATATTACTTTTATTCATTACACTCTTGTCCTCATCACAATTTGAAGAACAAGCATCTTCTTGATTTAAATTAATATTACTTAAAGAACTACCTAAAATATTTGTTTCTTTAGTAATTTCATTTATCGCTATTTTAAAATTCTTCACAGAAGACATAACATCATTAAAAAAGTGATCGAATAAATTATCATCAAAATTACTAGCACTCCTTAAGTAGCTAATTTTATCAATTTCATATAAAAAATTCAATGTGTAACCTGCCTCTATAGCGTGATTAATAATTAACTTGATAAAAGCACTTTCCTTTATTAGATCCGATATGTTTTTTGGAACATAAAATGACAATTCTTTGCATTTTTCAAATAATCGAACGCTGAGATTTTCTTTTTCATCATTATATCTACAAAAAAAGAAAATAAAAATTTGTTTCGAATCAAACTAATGGCACAACTTTTCTACAACAAATTCTTTCCGCCAATCGTCTAATATTCCTTCACTCCACAAAGTGTTCATAATATCACAAAAAGTTCTGCAGCTGTACATAAATAGGGTAATAGCTAAGTTTGATGTCTCTAAATCATGTGATACTCGAAAAGCATTAAGCAGGCAAGATAATAAATGAGCAGATGCGATATGTGCTTTAAAAAAATTTGATTCAAATTTTTGATAATATGTGTGGTTCCAAAATATTTTTACCTGGATATTTATTGAAATCTAAAATAACTTTTTCGTGAATTTTATATATTTTTTCCAAATAATCAAAAACTTTATCCAATTGATTTCTTATTTGAATAATTGTCACGATACTTGCTGGTAATTGGTCTTTAACATATTGCTCAATTTGCAAAATCTTTTCATAAAATGGTTCCAATAAATCACTTAAACAAGAAGCATAACATTCATAGGTTTTAGGCGGCAAATTAGATTTATGACTGTAAATCAGTTTAATAAACGTCCGCAAATTTAATTGCCGCTGCATAGTTGGTATGAAAGAAAATTGAAGAAATAATTTCAATCCATCCTACCATATATAAGCTATTAATAGTTATATTTAACTAATACACAAAATTACTTACTACCGTCACACTGGGAATTGTAACATTTTTCCTAACTAGAATGTGACCACTTTCATCAACAAGAAAAAATTTACAAGTTTGTGGACAATACAGCATCCACAGAATTTCTCTCATCAGCCGATATTCACTTTCTGTTGAAATTATTTCCAACTTTATAAAGTTATTAGAACTTTCTGCAATATATCGGTTCCATAGTTGCGCAAAGTTTGCGTTTTCCAAGTTACTATTGATTTGATACTCCGATTTAAAATTTGTCCACCACGAATTCTGACAATTTTGAAACAACCAATTTTTATTTTTATTTCCATTGAATAAAACATAATTTTTTGCTTTTTCGGGAGGTTTCAATTGCACCCCTGGAATAATTTCAATGGGAGATTTAAATTTAATTACTTCTTCTGTTTTACTCGTGCTTTCAACACTCTTGCTGTGCGACGACAATTCAGTATCAGAATCTGACCATTCCTAAAAATTGAAAACGTAAATTTCAGTTTTTGATATATTATTCCAATATTTTTCTTACGCTTAATTCCGAATCTGAACTTCTTGCATGCTGTATATGATCCACTGGTATTAAATCTTCCTTTAAAATGTCAACCCAGTATTGTTGCTCTTTATTTTGTTCTTCATCGTAATCTTTTCGAATTTCCAAAGATATTTTATCTCTATTTTCACGTAGAGCTCCAACCGGGTTATATGATAAATTAAATAGAAAATCAATCATTGACCAACCAACATCTACTTCATAATGTTTCTTGCAAAGGGGATGGTTAATAATTCCGTCAATCAGTTTTTGAAGGTGATCACCATATACTTTGTAATTGTTGACTCGAAATTTTTCATGCATTCCTTCAATTTTTCTTTTGACTTCATGACTATTTACACTTAAATAGCGATGATTTTTTAATATATAATTAGCAAATTCTTCACACCGCTTATAATTTTCTTCTTTTCTCTAAAAAAAACAACAGATGGTTGGACAAAAATTGTCGTTAAAATTATAAAAAAACATGCAAACCTCAAAATGTGTAAGATTTTCTATCAGTTTTGGTATATTTTCGAAAATAATTTGTTGCCTTTGATCAGAAGCTGACATTTTAGAACTATTTGATGAAATATTTAGAAATCAATCAGCTTACAATTAAAAGATTCCATATTAATTTACTTTCGCATTTTAGCTTTTTAATTTTTTTTAATATCAAATTTTCAAAACAAATTACATATCTTCAAAATACAGTAGCTTTCAAACATTTAATTCACAATAGTCACACAAAAAACCTGTTAGTACCTTTCTTTTAGCATAAGTACTGTGTATATAAAATAAAAACCCTGTGTTTTCACACTGCTGTTAAAACTGTTCTATAAAATGTTATACAGCAAAATTAAAATTTTAGATTGACAAATAACTTGATCTGAAAATCCGAACTTCGGGTGAAAATCAACCTTTAATTTGAAGAGCAGAAAAAGAACGGAGAATATGAATTATTTCTTATTCAACCAAAAAGTTTCTGCCTAAAATTTTTCTTTAAATTTTCTTGTTATATTCGTAATAAATAGTTATATTTTTACACTTTTAAGTTTTACAAAAACAAAAATTTTTAAAAAAAATTTTCGATTCTCGAAAAGAAATTCATAAAATACCCAATTAGATTTTAAAAAGTTCAACGAAAAATACGGGTAAGTTTAAAGCAAAACAGAAAACAAGGAAAAAATATATGTTACACATATTTTTATTAGACAATTCTGTTAGAAAAACTGAATGCAATTTCGACGATAATTGAAATTGCAATTATTGCAACAGTGCGTAAATGTTTTTCTTGATTGAACTTTCTATTATTTGCTACCAAACTTAGTCTAACAATAATAGAAATTACTCTGTTCTCATCAGACTCTATTGTCCAATTTTTTAAAAGTAAAAATGTCGACAATTAATTATTTGTTAAAGATTGTAACCGCAGTCAGCTGATTTATAATTTGATTATTAAAAATCAGCTGTCAAAATTTAATAATTTTGGTCCTTTCGTGGCATTATAATTTTTAAATTGCATTATAGTTAACGTATAATTAAATTGAAACATATCAGATTTTTGTCGTAGATTTAATTTAATTTATTCAAATTTAATATGAGATTTTGTCATATGTGTAAATAAAGAACTTAGAAAGTAAGAAAGATTCTTATTTGGCAAACACCTTCATAGTGCAATATTGTAATTTTGAAATACACTGGCTTTAATTTTTGAAAACAACCGATTCACTAAATTTCTCTAACACCTGATGTTTAATTGTCACCTCTTTTTTTTTAAACTTTCATTTCAAATATTTATATAAATTTTATCTCCAAATTTTTTGGTGCTGTTAGATTGCCAAACCTTACAAAGTTAAATTAAAATATGTGCCAATCACGTCATTTAATTTATTTAACAACTTTAAAAGACAATGAGGTCATTTGCCACGAACTGTTATTAGTTAAAGGTTTCGTTGAAAAGATATGTCACTGTAATATTATTACACTTCAAGATATTAAAAAAAATAAAATATATCAATACACGTTAGTGAAAAATTGCAATAATTTCAAATTTTTAATACAACTGGAATGTGGTCAAAATCAATATATAATAAATTATTGCAGTGCGTCTCAGAGATTAAATTTATTTTTTGAACCATCTAATTCGATTTATCACATTCAACCTCTCTACATTATTCATCAAAACCACGACGGACATTTTCAAACTGAAGATGAAAAACCTAATAGCCCAGTAGAGGCTTGTAAAATTATTGAACTCAACCTAAAGATTGTGCAATGTCTTTTTGCAGAAAAATTGCTTGAAAGTGGTTTAACAAATAACTTAAGAAAAACTTTTTCATTAAAGTCAAAGTGTCTGATATTTCATAGCAAGCAATCAGTAGAAAAAGCTCTTGAGTCTGACGAGAATACTCTGTGGAATGATTTAGCATTTGAAATAATTAATTCTAATTTGGGAGAAGATTCAAAAATCAAGTTTGTGGCTTTTCTTGCTTGTACCCGTTACAACGGGAAAGACTTAAGTGGGGATACTTCATATGAAAATATAAAAAAGAACACACGAGCAAATCCAGCACTTGGTGGTGGAGGCTTGGCCTTGTTTGGGTCAGGATATTTTTATTCTTGGCCAACAACCTTTGAAGAAATTATTGATTGTTTTAAAAATTATAAAAAAATTGATTTAAGTACACAGTTAGATGAAAGCAACTACAGGTATAAATTTGCCTAACTTATAAAAGTATAGTTGTTAATTTTTTACTTTTAGGAGAACATATGGCGGCTGTTTTGCAACAACGCTGGGTGCAATAGCTCATGAAATTGGGCATTGCTTTGATTTAGGACACACTAAAGAAGGAATTATGGGTAATGGTTTTGACTATGTAAATCTTGCTTTCGTAAATGAAGATTTCACAGAAAATTTGCCTGATAGAATAGTGCAAACTGAAAGTGTTAAAGATCAAAGATTAACTAAAATCAAAAAAGGTGAAAATAAATTTTTGGAAAATTATCATGAGCAAAAAGGCGGTGGTGATTGTACATATTTCTCCAAGAACTGCAGTATTATATTAGCACATCATAAGTGGTTTAATTTACAAAACGAGTCAGATGAAAAAAGTGAAATTACTTTTATGAAAAGTATCATAAAATCTTCCAAATTTAATTTAGTTTTAATTGAAATTCGTGAGAAAGTCAACGGTTTAGTGATTCAATTTTATGAGTTATTGAATAGGAAACACAAAGAATTTGAAGTTCCTGAACACTTTACTAAATTAGAAAGATATAACATTTTTGTTATAACAGAAAATGGTGATTTAAAACTGTTTGAGTGAAATAAAAACGCTGAAGCATAAATTTTATGCATACATAATTATATATGTATTTAGAATTGTTATATGCACTGAATAGATGTTTTAACTATAATTATATTACAAACACACCAAAACGTTAACATAAAAAACAACAATTTTAAAGCTAATTATTTTTGTGCTATGATTATTGAACTTCAAAAAATAATATTTATACAACATACAAAATTTGATAATACTAAATATTATCAGTAGCAAATGAAGTGATAAGATATTACATGTAGTGTGAAAGTATTAGCTGAATGTAAATATCAAAAAAATTTTATAAATTTAAAAATTACATTAACCTATAACAATTTTAATAACAATGGAAAATAATAGAGCAATAGTCTGTTTTAAAGAATTGAAGGGATTCCCAATAATTGAAGAAAATAATGAAATCGAAACGATTGCTTTTTTGGCCGCAGCTGAAGAAATTGTCCAAATCATAGGTAAAATGATTTCAATTTTAATTTCTTTAATAATTTTTTTTTCGAATTTAGAAACATTTGGAAGACTGTTTACTCCCGTTACAAGTGACATGCGCGGCAATATTAAGAAGCTAAACATAATTTACGAAAAGGATCCGAAAAAATTTGGTTTTATAGATCGTATGATTAAAGTGGATTTAGATGGTGGTAGTAATGGTTCGGTAGAGGCTGTCACATGGTTAAAGAGGTAACATATCCCATATACTTAATTAAAATAACAATATTTGGTTATGACTATGATGTTAATAATATTATAGAGCACTAAATTTAATATTCATATTCTTCAAAAACATCCTAAATGATGCAACAACTTCTGAAAATTTAAGAGACCATTTAAAAGATGCATACGAAAGAACATTAAAGCAGCATCATGGAATTATCGTCAAACAAACTGTAACTGTAAGTAATATTAAATGAAAGCTGTTCAAAAATATTAAATTAAAGTTGTTTAAATAAAGAAAATAGAATAAAGAAATAGAATAATTTTTACAGAAAAATAATTATTGATATTAAATTATATCTTGCAATTTGTATTTGTATTGAATTTGAATAATTCTGAAATTTAAAACTAGTTTTACATTTTTAAATTTTTTGTTTTGCAGTTCATTTATCGTTGGGTGCCAAAGCGATCAGAATTATTGGGATTGGGAAATTTGCATGATGAGAACATAAAACTCTTATCGAATTTTTTGAAAATAATGGAAGCAAATATTATCAGAATCAATGCATTAGTAAATGATTTCCCAAAAGAAAACTAATTTTAAAAAACTTTGAATTATAAATAATATTTGTATTTACTGCTAAAAACCATTTTAGCAGTACTCGATTGGAAACAATCGAACTCCGTAATCCAATTTTAAATTTCGTTTTACAGGTAACATATATCATTAGTTTTTATATTAAGGTATAAGTATAGGTTTTATAATTGTTGTACTTACATACATATATATAATTTTAATTGAAATATTTCCAAACTTAAATTTCGTTTTAGCACCATAAATTTTAATTAAAAATAACTTTTTTAGGAGGTTTTTGATAAATAGCTTTTAAATATATTCCAATAATGGAAACACAATGATTTGTAACATAAAATATGAAGTTTAAATATTTTCTTAAATTTAAATATAAAAAAATACTATAAATAATAAATATATATACGTAAAAACTTAAAATACTTTAATTTGAGCTCTTCTATATTAGTTCTGATAAAAAACTTAATATTAATAAAATTAATAGTTTTATCTACAATATTTCTGCTTACACCATATTATACATTATGAATTAAACTAAAGACTTATAATCAGCCCAAACATCCTTGATCCAATTCACTGTTACATATGTCCATCTACGTAATACGCAGCTATGTGTATACTGGGAGAGCATTTACATACAGTTCTTTTAATAAAGTACTATTCTAACAATGTTTGTTTAGGCCCATATTTGTAGTATAAGCTAACACCGAAGCAAAATTTTGTATGTTGTATTGTATGTATCTGCTTAAACCATACTACACATAATGAATTAAACTAAAGACTAAGATCCAAAAACTTTCATATTACTAAGAGAGCCAGCATATTTTAATACTGACAATATGATTCAGAATTAGGCAAGTTCATAAGTTCAAAAGTTTTTATTAAATCCATTTTATATAACAATTGTAATTTGTGTTAAGTGTATTTATATTATGCATATATTAGTTCGTAAACTTAAAAGGTCTTATAATTTAATTACCAAGTATTAATACTTTCGTATATACATATTATTGGTTTTTATTTGCATTTGTTTTTGAATGTAGCAATTTCATATGATATAATTGAGCTTGATAAATAGACAACTTCCTTGACACGATGAATCCAACTGGTGTTTCACAAATTAAAAACATCAATATTATATATGTTGCAACACGTAATATAATTGGGCCTTCTGTAGTAAATGATAAATATAAATGTATAGGTAATTGAATTAATCCTGATATTATCCAAAATCCAGCTAAGTCTGATACCTGCAAATATTCAAGAAATATCTTAATAGATATGTATTTAATATTGAATATCTGGTGTGATCAGTACACAACTAACCCATTTCATTTTAAAATTGTAACAAATTTTTTTATTAATTAAGCTAACGGCTGGAAAAGATTATGAAAATGTTACTTGTACACTTATTTCAATTTTTAAAAAAGTCTGTAATTCGTGACACAAATTCTAAAAATAGTTTTTTTTTTAAGTTCTCCATTACATTAAGTCGTGACCTATTAAATCTTTTGTAATAGCAATTATTTTCCTTTATCTAATGCAATAAGATGTAAAATTATCTAAATCTGGTATTGTGTATTAAAATACTATTTTCTATGTAAATACGGAGCTTCAACAAATACGAACATATTTCTAGGCAGCTTTAAATAGCACTTTTTCAAAAAAAAAATTGGAAAAAAATGTGCTTATTATTTTGTTTATACGGGCATGTTTCTAAAACTTCTACAAACCTTATGGCAAAAAACCGTTCATAGATCTTTACTAGATATTTATTTCCATAGAAGAAAATTTTTACCTATTTCTATCCCTTTAAAAGTTATAGCCTTCCAAAACCCTAAAAACATTTTTTCAAAACCCTAAACTACTTATTGTAACGATCCCATAAGCATTTTTTAAGTTTTGAAAACGCAGAAAAGTAGTGGCTGCCTTCTTCGGCAGCTGTATACCATATTTGAATTTCAAAAAAACAAAATGACCGTTAAAATAAGCCATTATCGAAAATTCGTTTTTCTTCTAGACCGCAGGTTGTATAAGTCTAAAAATTTAGCAGTTTTTATATACTAATAAATAGTTTATTTCGTAAGAAGAAATCTCTTTCCAGCTCCACCCCTTTTGAAGTTATCTCTTCTGAAAATTTTGTAAAATTTCAAATTTTACTACCTTACATTTCCGAAACTGCAAGCTTTTCTAAATTTCTAGAAATGCCATTTAAAAAATATAAATATTTTTCTTAACTAATGCAATTAACCCCTAACTTCGATCATTATGTTAACGCCTATTTCAATTTTTTTCATCCTAAAAATATACTATCTTCGAAACATTTTGTAAGTAATTTTAATAATGTAGTAGCTACATACAATATATAGATTGTTTTCAAAAGCAGTATTTTTCCTTGTTGAAGGGAAAAGTACTACATTACAAACCAGAACGGAAATTAAACATTTTCATTCATAATCATATATGTACTAAAATTTATCAAATGTAAAATAAAAATATTAAAAATTAATTGCATAGTATATATAGCTATTATATATACTATGCAATTAATATGTTATGACACCCCATGTTAATAATAGAAATTCAGAAAAAATTCAACAAATTATTGACACCCTGCTTTTATAACAATTAAATAACTTTTTTGCTCATTTGGATTATATAAATATTAAATTGGAAATTTATTTATTTAAAAAGTGTAAAAATTACACTAAAAACATCGCAGGAACCTTAGAAATTACTATATTAGAATAAACAAAGAATGAAGAAAATTTAAAATAATTAGAATCCGCAATTAATTTTTGTGATTAATAATTTTAAATATACTCGAAAAGCACTACTGCAATTTGGGTGTCAACAACTTTATGAATTTTTCAGAGTGTCAATAATTGTACCGGTTACGCTAATAAGATAATTTTAAAAAATGCGAATTCGGTACCAAACTTAACATCAGCTTTTCAAAAAATCAAAATTCTAATTAGAACTTTCACAAAATAAGTAAAGTTTCAATATATGTATGTATGTATTTGTGAAAAACTTATTTCAGCAACCCAATTATTCAAAAAAATTTCTAGAAATGTGATCTAGCTAGACATCTTTCTTATCTATGATTATTTTGTTATTCAAACTTATAAATCTGTTGGCAAAATTACCTTTTAAATTTCGAGTTTAACTTTCGAGGTTTATATTTTTATTTAACAATTTTATTTTTATTTATTTGACTAAACTAGCCGAATTATTCCTTCTTACATTATTTCCACAGATTTACTTAAAACAAACAACCTACTATGACATTCCACAATAGATTCACATGAACATAAATGTATGTACACGGGTTATTTTATTACATATGTACGTACATACATATGTATGAACCATTATTCAATTATAAGTAAGTTAATAATTTTATTATTATAAGTTAATTAATGGGTTCCATTTAATTTTATTATGATGGGAAAAAAATCGCAGGACACGAATGGAGCTTTTTACATTTCCATAAAACATGCTAGAATAAATAAAAATTTTATACCTGAAGATCCTTGCTTTATTAAAATTTTATAACTTATTCATTACTCTATACTACTATCAATTTCTTAAAGACCTTTAAAATAATTATACACGGTATGTTCACATACGTTTTGTACATATGTATACACATATATGTATACACAGTCCTTTTGTAATTGACCTCGAAAATTTTTAATTAAGTTCAAAATTACACACGTGTGACTTTCACATGTAAATCAATAAACAAGTATGTAAGTACGTAAGCAAGTTGAGTCAAAATACAATATACTCAAAGTGGTGTTCAATTTTTTAATAAATTTAAAAAGACGACTTTAAGTGCTTAAAATGATAATATTAATTTATATTTATGACTAATTTTAAAATAATTAAATCTAAAATTTTATACCCAAAAACTAGAAGGAATTGTCGGGGATTTAAAATTCGAAACAATCTTTATCCCAGTCAACAACAAAGTTTTAAAAATCTAATTGATAAATAACTTGACAGATACATACCTTGCCTGATAAATTTCCTGAATATCCTAAATATAATCGAAGACCTTCTGCAGGCACTGATATTATAAACCCAGAAATTGTTAATAGTTTTTGGACTTTTGCAAAATCTTCTGCCTTAATATAAATTATTGTACAAAATTTAATATCTGATTAACATGTTTAAATTTAATATAGTTGACCTTTAAAAAGAGGAATTTTAAGAAATCTTTCGATATTTTCGTTATTAATATTTGTCGAAAGCAGCTTGGTTGGACAAGTTTTTTTTTACATTATCTTTTTTTCTTGTATAAAAAATACACAAAGCAACTCTATCAGAAGTGACACGAAAAATAAAAAAGTCCTATTTAAACAGGACAGCCTAACAATTTTTTTGCTTAACTTAATATAAGTTAGTAGAAATCACCGAATGATATTCAAAAAATTAGGTTCAGTTTTAGAGAACAGAGGTAATATTGCACCTGCATAGACAATTCTTGAAAAATTTAAGTGATCGAAACAAAAAAATTGCCAATTGGTTATCTTGGCACCTCTTTTCAAAGTTCAACTAAATATACATATTGGCATTCAACAAATATTTACATTGTAAAACAGGTAGTATCCATACCACATTACCCATGTGCCAGAAATATAAACATTACAGTACAGCAACATCTGTAAAAGTAAGCTGGCCTTATATTGACTCTCTGAAAAATAAAATTATCATGTTTATTTTGAAGTAAATCATGGTTTAAAAAAAATATACCGTTGAGATTATCAATATTTCTTTTACTGTTATTCTTATTCATTATTATTATTTCTAATGTGTTCTTAGTAATTATGTATGTATGTATGTATACATAAATGAATTTCGGATAACAAACTTAGGTTTAAAAAAAAACTCCTTATTCATATCATGGTAATGTTGAATACTATTCGCACAGAAATAGCTATTAAATTACAAGTTAATTTCGACTATATGAACACTATATTTATTTATTTTTGTCAAAACACTCCCACTTTTACTAACCGAAATATAATTTTTTTCGAAATATAATTTTTTTCATTCTTTATTATAAGAAATCTAAAATCTGACTGAAAATTATTTTTTTTTAAATTCTATTTTATCAAAGACCACTTAACTGAATCAATAGATTGTTTGATATGTTAATATTTTGTATTATGTGAATTGCTACTATACCATATTTGTTTTGGACTTGCTTCAAAATTTAATTATTAATGGGGACATATCCAAGGAAACTATAAGGTTATTTACATGCATGTATGCATTTATGTACATATGTACATATAACTATTATTCGTTTCCATATCCATACTTACATTATGTAGGTTTATATGAAAATGTACTTATGAGTGTATATATAGATATGTCAGTATATAAATCTTATGCAGGAGAAACGAATCAATTTGAAAACATTTTCTTAAAAAATACTTTTTTGGTTTATTAGTTTAATAATTATATTTGATAATTATTTATTAATTTATAAATGTCCAATAATTATTAATTAAATAAAATATTGCTATTTATTAAATATCGATTTTAAATTTTACAAGTTTAAGAGCAATTAAAAAGATATTCAAACTTAAAAATCATGAGTTCATTGGGAAGTAATTTGGAAGATAATGAATTCAGTTTTTTCCTTACAAGTCCTTGCAGTGATAAATTTGATGTAATTATTGGAGAAATCGAAAACATTGTTGTTGAAGAAGAGTTTCAGGTAAAAAGAATTTAAGTAAATTGTGATATCTTATACTTAGTTTATCTAGTCAGCTACTTTATACCAAGTTAAATTTTTTATTAATTTTAATAGCTAACTTAATTTCAAACATAATAATTTTTCTATCACACATTATCAGATCTTGTTTGATCCTTATTATATAAATAATAATTTAATATTATTATTTATATACATAAATAATGATATTTAATAATCATATTTAATATTACATAATATTTAATAATCAATATAGAAAATATTATGCACACAATTTAATATATTTCCATGTTTTGCTATTTAATAACATTATTTCCATATTTTTTATAATTTTCAGAATTTACAAAACAGTTTTCTTGAACATAATTATAGAATTTTTGAAGATACAGAAGAAAATAAATTAGAATACTATGAAATATTTAAAACATACGCGAATACAATTGAAGCATTCATTGTTGAAGAACTGCAAAAACGTATTCCTGATTTTGATATTGAAGAATTCGCAGAAGAACTAGAGTAAGTATACAATACACACATTTTAAAACATTACCCTGAAACAGAACCATTTATAAATTTTGTTTTAATTCGTAATTCATCTAATTTTAATCAAGAATTTTAATTTGTGTAAATTTAATTTTTAATTTGTTTTTTAGAAACAAGAAACATCTTTTGGATGGAGAAATATTTGAACTTTTACTATCCTTCTCTGATTTTGTGAAATTCAAGGATTTAATTTTGGATTACAAAGCTCAAAAAGATGGCAGATTCAATAGTTTAGATTTATTTTTTTCTGTAACAAAAATTAATATTGCAGATTGAGCAATTGCAACACAGCTACAAAACTAAAATATATTAAAACTTAATTCAATGTATGTACTTTTAACACAGATTTCGCAGCATAAAAATATTCGAAAAAAAAACTGGAAAAATAAAATTTTACAACCAAGAAAGCTGTTCTTTATAATATAAGGGGGCAGGCATACGTACTTTAAATAGAGGTTAAAATATATTACATGAATTTTAGGTTTTGATATTAAGGTATTTTTAAATATATGCATATATTCTGATCTACATTGTACTAAAATATCGCTCGTTTTAAGAAAAATAAATCTTAACAATTAATACAAGAATTATTTTCTCATTAGTAATTTTAATGTCTAGATAATAGCAACATAAAAAATTTAATTACAAAATTTGTTTTTAGTCATAAAATGCAAAAATACGTGTATATATATATATTTTATAGCATACATAATATGTACACATTAATAAAACATAATTTATTTAGAAACTTTCAATACCACAGCCATAAACTACGCCAGAAATTTTATCATTTTCATGTAATATTTCTAATCCCTTAATGTCGGCTACACACATTGATTTGTTTTCAATTAACTTATTAGTTTCAAGACAAAATTTACAAACGGTTTGATCAACAGATGTTGAATAGAAATATTTTATATCATTAGTAAATTTCACTCCAGTGACTTGTGCAGTATGTAGAAAATCAAAACATGTTTTTTTTATTAAATAAAAATTTGTACAATTATCATATTTAATTGTAGAAAACACTATACTTTGATCATCGCCTCCCGTAATAATGTAAATATGGTTATCCTTTTCTGCAATATCAATAGCATTTATTCCGCTTTCATGATGTTTTATTTTATATAGAGCTTTGGAATGAGAAGAAAAGTCAATTGTATTCCAAATATTAATGGTACCATCTGTTGAAGCTGATAATAATAATTTATTTTTTATAATATTAACTTGCATTATACATCTATTGTAAAACAATCCATCAACAAACTTAATATTTCCATATATAAAACGAAACTTCCGAATATAACCATCTGAACAACCAGAAAATATTTCAATTTCATTATTTTCATTACATAATAATGCCATGGCCATAAAACGAGTTTCAGGATCAAAATCAATTTTTCCTTTATTACTATTGTTTTTCTGAAAGTCTGTTGACCTTAACATAAAAGTAGAAACTTCTTCCAAGAATAGCGTCTTAGTGTTGAATTTACTTACACAAATTTGTGCTCTTCCTCCAGCGGAAAATATTAAGAAATCCTCCGAAACATGGCAAATTTCAATTGTTCTTATATTAGAAATATGTTGATTCATATCTTGAATTACATTTAAACTTCTTTCACACTGTAAAACGTTTTTCTCAAGTTTACTTATTTTTAAAATATTATCCTCTCCTCCGGATACTAAATATTCATTGTTTATTACTTTTAGTACGTTGCATTCTTTCATATGCCATCGATATTGAATTATATTAACTAAATTTTTTGAGATATTTTTAAAACTTGTATCTACAACATGTATGCTTCCTTTCTTTATAAAAATTAATTTCAAAGTATTTTCTATAGCATTAATAAAACAATCCCAAAATCGATGCCCACCACCACAATTAAAACTGAATACCTCTCCATCCTTTTTGTTCCATACAACGAAACTTGTTGAATTAAACCCTGCTATGTATTCCTCTTCTAAGAATTTAAAAACTCTCTCTACCCATACAATTGGAATATTTTGTCTTGAAATTATAGCAATGTTTTGCAGTCCTTTATTTAGCTTTATGATTTTTATAGTATTATCATGACCATATGTTTTCAAAATTGCAAAATTTTTAAAATCGTTTTCTAAACAAATATTAGTGATCCCAAAGTTACCATTAACGTGTTTTAAACAATTTTTAAGCACAAAGTTAGAATTTTCATAAACGTACAAAAAGAGGTTTCCCTGACGGTTGCTCAACAAAAAATATTCTTCAAATTTAAATGCACATGTTACCCAAGGTTCTCTACTTTTTGGGACTGCAATTGCAACATATTCATTAGAATTCTTATTAAATAATTTACAATTTCCAGTTTCATCGCATACTAAGTATTCATCGTCATTCAAAAAGAATATTGATTTTATATAGTTATTTGAAACTACTTCGTTTTTCTTAATTCTAAACTTGTGTGCAACAGGATCAAATTCAATAATTATTAAAGTTTTAAAAGCTGCTAGGTAAATTAAGTTTTTATATGTTTTTAAAATTGAACATTTTGTTTTTAACAATGATTCCTGGCAGGTCTTTTTTTCAAGTAAATGATCAATCTTCACCCATGTTTCACTGCCAATTTTTACCATCAAAAAATTTTGATTTGTCAATCCAACTACAATCCTATCATTACACAAGAAGGCAATTTTTTCAAATTTGTCCAATTTCATAGAATTTTCGCTAGGGGTTTGTAAACAATCTATAGTTTCAATTTTAGATTGAATAGAAATATTCGATAAGATAGAGTTTAAGTCATATTTTTTACAATTTCCATCAGACCCAGTGGTAAATACTGCACCACTTTCATAATCATAATCTAAGTTCCAAATAGCAGCACCGAAATGATGTAACCTTCGAAACAAAAGTTGACCTTTATTGTTCCACACGCAGAGGTTTGAATCTTCTCCTACAGTAAGAATGTACGGTACATTTCCTGGAATTGTAATTATTTAAAATCAAATTAAATTTAAAAAAACAAGTAAATTACTTTCAATTGCTTACCTTTTTTTATTATTTTACCTTGGAACACTCGAGCTGTGTGACCGTAACTCTGTATGAAAGAATCTGTTGAAATAGGATTATTGCATATGTAATCGTCTCTAATTTTTTCCTGGATATTGAAATTATAAATTTTAAGAGATCTGTCATCTGATGTCGTAATTAAAATATTAAACTCTACACTAACATCTACAGAAAGGGTTACACCCTGAAAAAAGTATCAAGTTAAAAAAATATTTTAAATTAAATAAATTATACCTACATTATTTCCACTTAAACGTTGAATAATATTAGACGATAGAGGTCTGAAAACAATTACATTCATAGCAGTGCCACCAAAAATAATTAAATCATCCCAAGTTTTTCCTAGTATGGAAGAACAATACAACGTAGTTTTATCAAAACAAAAACTTTTATTTATTATAGTACATGTTTGCAGTTCTCTATTGTATTCTAATTCAATTGCAGTCAAATGACCAGTCACTAAACAAAATTTATCATTCTGAAGTAATTTTCCAGAACTGATCCAATCATTAATTCTCCCTGAATAAATTAATTTAAAATCATTCTGTAAAAAAACGTTTAATAGAAAACATACATATTATGTATGTATAGATTCAATCTATTTTAGAATTTAATAATAATACTCTTACCCTTTCATTACTGAATAAAATAAATTGTCTTTCGCCATATACTAAAACAACATCATTTTCATCATCTACATCTATTCCATGTATCTTTCTCTTGATTCTCCATGGAACCTCTTTATATGTTACATTCGAATAATACCTTACATTATTTCCGATACCTGGAATTTCAGGACACAAATTAGAATTTTTATAAAATTAATAAAACCCAACAATAGATAATATTAACGTTATCTACCCACAAAAACCTGATTATTTTTCAAAACTTTTACTGCTATTATATCGCAAATTTGTACCATAATAATATCAAACTATGTTTATGAAAAAAATAATAAAGAGCAAAAATTTATAAACATTCTTTACTTATTATATTTATTTTGTTAATCATAACCTAAACATTGTAATATGTATATGAATGTATGCAACTTAGAAATTCATACTGTCATTTTATTGTCAACCTCATTTGTTGATATATTAAATAAGGGTTTTGGCAGAAATGTTAAAATAAATAGTACTGGTTGTGATATAAACATTGCATTCAATTTTAAAATCGAAATAAAATAAAGCTTTTTCAATATTTGAAGAACATTTGAGAAATAAAAATTAAAAAGCTGTTAACTAATTATTGACAGTACAAGGAAAAATTACATTTAAATGCAATTAAAATAAAATTGCAATTAAATGTAATGTACTAACAATTTAATTTTCTATTTTAGAAGCATCAAAGTCAAAGCAGCTAGAATTTATTTTGTTATTTAGAATTAGATCCATACCGAATCTCAATAGAAACGGGTTTTTAATGTAGTTTTCATCTAGTATATATCATTATTAAACGTTTTTATGTCAATTTAAAATTGAGAACAATTTTTACTTAATGTTCAATTTCTGTTATGTTAGGTAACATTTACACATCAAGCAAAATTTGACAGCCATGAGAAACTCTGGTTGCACATCAAACTTTGTTTAATCAAATATGCTGTCAAATTAAATTTTTTATTCATATGTAGGTATATTTTCGTATACGTATGAATTACTTACTGTCTACAAGTACTATGTATGAATTTATCGTTACTATAATACCAAAGAAAATTATACATACATAAATTACTTATAATTGTTTCTAGTATTTCAGTATTAAAGATTGTAGGTTGTCTCTTTTTCATCAATTTTATTATTTAGCTCTACATTTGTTATACTAAATTCTTTCTTTAACTCCTCATATTCTCTTTGTTTTTCATAAGCGTTCTTTTTTTTTTGAATGATATAATAAATTGAATTAAACTCTCGCCAACTAATATTCTTTTTTAAACATTTTTAATATAAATGTTCAAAAAACGTTTTAAAAAATAATTTAGCTAACTATAAAAAGAAATTTTTAATTACTAAACTACAGAAACAGCTGATCATAGCGCTAGAAAAATTTAAAATAGCTAAAAATATTTATTCTCGCCAATTAATTATTTTATTTCGATCACAAATGTTTGATAAGAATTGGACAAGATTCTACTCTATTTTTCTCATCTGATTTTGTTTAATTTGATTGGTTTTTTGTTCATCAAATTTTCATCAAATTTCCATACAATTAAAAAAATTATTAAACTTTGCTTGATGTGCAAACGTTAAGTAGAGAAAATTTCTTTTAAGTTTGGGTACTACTGTTTATATATAAAAACAAACAAAAACAAAAAACGATACATACTTCAGATCGTATAATCCTCATAACCTTAAAACACTCTTATTGCAATGTAAATTGTTTATAGCTTATAGTATTGTCATTAAAAAGAAGCAGAGCTAACCCGCGCATTAAATTTAAAAAAAATTCATGCTAGTTCTGAATTATAAAATTAAAAATGGATTTTAACAGTTTGTTAGCTCAAGCACAAAAATTAACAAATGAAATTCAAAGCGAAGATCTTCCTAGAGTTGAAAGAACCATACCACAGGTAAAGATTTATTTCATTTTGACTTTACCTTATAACATCTAGTTATATTCGTAGGTTCTACAAGCTACTCAAGAACTACATTCTCGTGTTACACAGACACAAGATATACAGGATATCCAAGCGTAAGTTTTGAAGTAGTTCTCTTTCTTAACTTTAAAAATAATAATTTTAGTCATATTTTGCTGGGATCAAAAGGGATTGATCTTCCGAAAATTTCTCAAAAATTGGAAACATTGAGTGCGCGTAAGACATTTGAACCATTGGACCCTATCACAGATACGGACATACAAAGTTTTTTAAAAAATGAAAGAGAAAATGCAATTTTATCAGTTATTGAGGAGGTACATAAAAATGTAAGTTTAAAGTTACTTAAAAAATTTTACTTAATTGTAGGCCGGTATACAAAATTTATTTACATAATTTATATGCGCAATTTGTTTTTTCTTTAATTTTTATTTTTTAGTCTTTTCAAACAGCACAAAAACAAAAATGGGAACATATAAAAGCTGATTGGAGACAAGAAAAAGTTAAACTATTAAATGCGTTAGTTGGACCTTCCCAGAACTGGATCGATATTCAAAAAATACCAGAACAAACCGTTTTAAATGAAACCTCTCTTGGTGCAAAATCTTGTTTGGACCGAATTGTAAAAACTATTTCGTATAACGTTTATATTCGTAAACAACAATTTCGTTTTAGGAAATGGCGTATGCTAGAGAAGTGTTCGATTACAATAAACTGGTAATAGAAGGAGTCTTAAGACCAAATTTAGTTCAGAAATTTGGGAAAATTGTGGAGACCTTTAATGATGCCGTAAGTTACGTGTTACAAATTGATAAATAGTTTCATATCTAAAAAAAATTACTACAGAAAATCACCGAAATGTGGGAAATAATGAAGTATATGGTAAATGTTGGCCCTTTATCTAGAAATAGAGATCCAATAAAAAGTCGTTCTCAAATGACACAATTTATAGAACAAGCGAAAAAATATTTGGAAAACCGGTAAAATAAGATTAAATATTCGGTAATCAAAAATATCAAAGCATATTTTACATTTTTAGTTATAAATTATACATGTCTACAGTTATATCTGGAAATTTACGCGAAGCTCAACGTGGCGGAGTTCCAAGTATTTTTAATTTAGTTTCTTCATTTGTAAGTTTAACATTCAATCAGAATAATAGTTTTGGCCTCCAAGATGGTTTAATCGAGGGTAAACCTCTATGGCCAATGATTTATTATTGCTTACGATGTGGTGATATTGCCGCAGCGTTGAAATGCATGCAAATGTCATGTGCCGGGCAAGAAGATTTTATGCAAGCCTTAGAAGATAAACTCCATAAGCCAGAACAAAAATTAAATTCTAAACTTGAAAATCAATTAAAACTTCTGTACTGCAACAAAATAAAAAATTCAACAGATCCCTACAAAAAAGCAGTAAGGAATCCTGATTGATTTCATTGCATAATTTGCATGTTAAAATTATATTTGCACTTGAATTTTAGGTTTACTGCATAATTGCTGGATGCGATATATCTGAACAGCATTTGGAAGTTGCAAAAACGACTGACGACTTTCTATGGATTCAGCTTTCGCTACTTAGATCGGAATCAAGTGATAATACTGAAATTTTAACGTACTCTGGATTACAAACAATGATTTTGGAAAAGTACGGCGAAAAGCATTTTAATGCCGCAGATCAAAGGCATTTGTACTTTCAAGTATTAGCTCTAACTGGCCAGTTTGAAGCAGCAATCGAATTTCTATCAAGAACTGAAAAATATAGGACGCATGCAGTTCATATGGCTCTAGCTTTAAATGAACTGTGCATGATAGGAGGACCAAGAAATGTACAAGAACCGTTATGTAAGTAGGAAAAATTTTAATTTTAAATACATATATTTATATTTCATAGTATTTACCTTTCAGTATCTGTTGATATTGAGGATCCTATACCGATGAGAAGATTGAACATAGCTCGACTAATAATGTTGTATGTTAAAAAATTTGAAATCACAAATCCAGCAGAGGCAATGCAATATTTTTACTTCCTAAGGTATTCCAAATCTTTTCTTTTGAATAGATTATATAAAAATTTAATATTTTAGAAATATGAAGGATCCTGAAGGTAGAAACTTATTTCTCCTCTGTGTTTCTGATTTAGCCATTGAATGCAGAGATTATGATTTAATATTCGGAAAAGTGCAACCAAATGGCATTCGATCACGGTAACTATTTCCTTTACTTGCAATGAATAGAAAGTAATATTAAAGTTTAACTATTATTTTACATGTCAGTGGACTTTTTGATCAGTTTGAGAGTATAGAATTCGACTCTAAACAAGCTGCGAAAATGGTAGCTGAAGAATTGGTTAAGAAGGGAATGTTTGAAGATGCAGTGAAATTATTTGATATTGCTGCTGATTATGAACATGCTTTACGTTATACTTCCGTTTTACTCTCTCAAGTTGTACACCAAATAACTAAAAAAGGTTCTCTAAGAGAACGTTTACAAATTGTGGCATCTGATTTTAATGAAAGACTTGAGGGAACTGAATTTAATTGTGATCCACAAGTTTTAAATACATTTTGTTTATTAACTAAATTGATGTCATTCTTTGATTATTATCACGAAAAAAATTATCAGTTAGCGTTGGAAGTTTTAGCAGATATAAACGTAGTTCCATTATCTATGAATGATTTAGAAAGCTGTGTTAATAATTTTAAACGTTTGAGTGGAGAAGTTTGTAAAGTTTATCCTGACATATTGTTAGCAACAATGGATATTCTACACATTGAATATAAAAAAATAAAAGGAAATAATGCATCTTATATTGACAAAGGAAGAGATAAGGTAAAATGCCTATCATTTTTAGCTAAATTTTGATAATGTTTAACATAAATTTAATTTTTTTTTTATTGTAGCAACTACAACATCTAAGAGAGAAAGCTAAAGCTCTAACTAGTATGGCCGGAATAGTTCCATATAGAATGCCTGGAGATACAAATAGTCGTTTAGTACAAATTGAAATATTAATGAACTGATTGTACAAGAAAAATAATAAAAAAAAATTATTTGCATTTTTCCTTTTTTAAATAATTGTGTTTCATTGAAGTAATCAATATACACATGTACTCTTAAATTAAAATCATGTAGTTTTAAATTGTTAAAAAAACTTAAAACTTTATAAGAAATTTTCTAATTACATAATAGGCGTTATCTACCATAGTATCTAAAACAGTAATAAATACAAGACAATTATTAATTAGTAGCATTAGTACCAATTTTAAAATTATACATTTTCTCGACTAAAAATGGAATTTACTAAAAGATTGATAATAAAACAAAAAAATTATTGTACGACATTTTATTTACATACATACATACATAAATATTAAGTACCTACATACAAATTTCAAAAATTTTAATTAAAAATGTTTGACTTCAGTGCAAAATAAAATAACCAATTTCAAAAAAATAATTTTTATATTACTATTATAATTTATTTGTTTTAATTTTGTATATTTCAATTAAAATAAAATTAACTAAAAAATGACTTGTCCAAATATGGCGAACTTGGATGGCTTGGCTTTTCCCAAACTGTTTCAAATTTGTAGACTTACTGACTAGACTACAATTTTTTTTTTTTCATAAAAAGATATTAATTTTTGGTATTTCAATAAAAAAAGTTTTGTTTTTTAATTTTGAAATTCCAATTGTTAAAAAAAAATTGTTTGTGTAAATGTGTATTTTATTTAAATGCTTCGAATTTTGTTTAAATTCCTCTGTATGATTTATTGGCAAAAAATGTACTTATTAAATAAAGTACACCATTAACCAAAGCAATAATTCCAGCTGCTAAAGTACAATTATATTTATCTTTGTTGACATTATAATCACTTATCGTAATCACAACTATGAGACCAGCAATTATTAATAGAATTCCTGCAAAAAGATGATATACCACTTCCTAAAAAAAAATAAATAAAATATGTTTGAATTTTATAAACTGCCTTTTAAATATTAAATTTTATTTACATACATACATATAGAAATATAAAAGTAATTTTTTTAACTTTATATTGTCGAATACAAAATTTTAAGGAAATTTTTTTTCTTTTGGCATGTTAATTTTTCGAATGAAGAATAAAAGGAATGTGATGAATTTACTATTGTTGTTGAAAATTATTGACATCATAATTTTCATTTCCAAATATCATTAAAAAATTAATATAAGATTACTTAGAAAATGTATTAATTCGCCGAGCAAATGTAATAAGTCAGATCGTGTATGACTTACACCCGTATATTCTAATAACGGTAAAAAAATCCCATAACACAAACTACTCTCATTCGTGAATGCTTTTTTACAAAGAAAGACTTGATTAAGCATATTATACCGAATAATCACATCAAAACTGTGTAACTTATATTGTGTAATTGCATTTTTGAATTTAATATTACACTAATGCTTATCTTCAGAATATTGCTGTTAATATAACTTTTAAATTACGTATTGAATTGAATTAAGTATTTATAAGTAGTCTATATGTAATTTAAAATATTGTTAAAAATCTAAAATATTGTTTACTTACAAATATAGTTTTCGACATAATAGTTCCGGTTCCCAAAGAAATTAAGCACGCTAATACAATTAAAAATGTTCCAATCATGAATGTAACTGTTATACATAAGAAGAAAATTTCATAACTTCTTTTTAAGGCAACATAAAATACCAGAGAATAATCAAAATAATATGAAATAATTCCAACACATATAATACCCAAAATCTAAATGAAAATGAAAATAATTTTTTTTTAATATAAAATAATATTTATTATAAAAACAAATTATAAATTTTACCAATTCTAAGAGTTTTAAAAGACCCGGAATACTTTTAAAATATCCGGTGTTAATTACAATATATGAAGTATTTCCGGATGTTGTAGTTGTACGAGTTACAGTTACGGTGTGCGACATTTTCAAATGATATTATTAAATATTCTGAAAATAAAATTACAAAATATAAACAATGTTAAATATAATTTAATTTAATTGTAATAAACAAAGTAATATAATACATTTTTATTATATAGCAGATAACAGACCGAAAATTTCCTAATAAAAACATATTTAATAGCATAAGGACATTACAAATTTAAATACTTTCATGAAAATACTGATTATAATGTTATTAAAAGGAAAAAAATGATTGTAAATATTTTTAAAATAAATAGAAAATTTCTTTGTTTAATAATTAAATATTATAGTTTTTAATACGCCCCCAGAATGTATGCAATGTCTTAATCTCAATATTTATTTTTACATCTGATAGCTTATAAAATATATTATGCATAGAATTTTTTTTTTGAAATAAAAGAAAAGCTTGTCTTTCGTTTTTTAATATTCTCTTTATTGAAAAAATCTTATAATTATAAAAGAAATAAAAAATTATATTTAAACATATATGTATATATATTAAAATTAAAAATCTAATAAATTTTAACATTTCATATAATATTATTTTCGAGTTCTTATCCTTAAATATCCTTGACTTCAGAACTACATTAATCCAATATATTAATGCACAATTCAGTAATTATGACTCATATACTGAATTGTATATTAATACTGTATACATGTAATTTTGAATCCAAGAAATATTTTGTTTTTGAAAACATTTGGTTTATGGTTAAAATTTAGTAACATTTTTATTGCATTACTATATGTTTAGGTACATGTTGTCCAGCCAAAATCATTTCAACTTTAATGAATATTTATTAATATGTGAATAATATTATATTAGTATATTTTGTATACATATAACTAATACTTACTATGTATAAATAATAAATACAATATTAAAATATATTTTATATTAATATAATTTTTTTTTTTAAATACAAAGATATTAAATTCAAATTATTGTATTACAATTTATAACAACATACTGTAAAAATTATAAAATTCACATTATATAATTATTGGTTCAATATTGTAAAAAAAAACTTTATAAAAAATATAATATATAAGTGCAAAATTTTTTTGAACTACGAGGAGAAAAATGAACACTTTATTTTTTTTTTTATTTATTATTTTGTTTGTAAAATGTATTTGTCATTCAAATGACTAGGCTTGGTTATTAAAGATATAATTTATTGTCATAATTTTTTGAATGTTACCCGTTTGTTTTATTGTTCAATTTTGGTTAGCAATTTTTATAATAATTTATTCTTTTTTTTTTTATATATGTAGATTTGAAAAATGAATCCTTAATTATATTTTGATTTAATAATTGTTAATATATAATTTAATACTAAAATACTTCTATAAATAGGATAAAATTATATATGTAAACATATACATATGTACGAATTCATAAATAGAAAATAAATTGTCACATTAGATTAGAACTATTTTAAATCAAGCAAAATGTAATGTTGTCGGTTGTAAGATTTCAGTATTATTTTTACTTGTCTTGCAATAATCTAAATTTCTCAATTTAATAGTTGCCTTTTCAGATATAACTTAATACAGATATTAGAATCTAATATTCAATATTTTGTTTCCTTTAAACATTATTTTAGAATTCGATTTTCTTAAGAACACCCATGAAAATTACATTTCGCCTAATTTTTTTTTTTTATTCTATAAGTAAAACTTCCAAAATTTTACTCAACGTAGCTCTAATTTAAGATGACAAAATATGCAATAATAAAAGATGCATTTTGAAAATAAAATTTTAAATTTATTAAAAGAAAGCCGTGCTCTATATTACGTAATTAAGCTAAGCATATAAGTAAAATTATAATATTCATGAATTTTGGTTTTTATAAAATTTGTATTATTGTCGCTGCATATATCAATTAAAATAAAAAGTCGATAGATTATATTGTAAGGGATGATTTCAATTTTTAATCGGTTTTTTAATTTAAATATTGTCATAGATTCTGGCAAAATTTTTAAATTTTCAATTATTGAATTAAAATTGAAATAGTTATACACCTAATATGTATTCCTTATACTAAGTGCATTGAATTTGTTTGATAACATCAAAATTGAATATGTTGCATCAATTCACGTTTCTTTTTCGAAAAGTTCAACACACGTTTTTCATACTATAAGCATATATTGGCAATAAAATGCAAAAAAAAGCGAAATTATTATAAAATGCATTGTTGAGTAAATAAATTATAATTTATTATAGAAAACAAAATAATATATATGTATGTAATTTTGGTATAAATATCAACATTTAATACATACATACAGACATATGTATAACTTAAAATATAATGTAAAATAATATTAATGATAAAAGTAATTTACAATACAATTACAAAAATATTTCTTTATTGAAATACAAAAGTTGTAATTTATGTATATGCACACATTACATATATTACATATTATTTTCAAAAAAATTATATGATGACCTTTAAGTTTTGTTATTATCTAAAATTTTAAATTAAAAAAAATTAAGAAAAAAAAATATTTTTTTGTTTGGACGAATATAAATAAGTTGTTGTTTTTTTTTTCTTAATATACTTTTCAAGTACTTTGTAGGCATTTTACATTCCTCTATATGATTTATTCGCAAAATATGTGCTTATAAAATATAAAATACCATTAACAGCACAAATAACAGATGCTGCCATTTGTGCTTTATAATGTTCAGCACTTGAATTTTTATCGGATAATTCAACAATACCAGCAATACCAACAGCAAGAAGTGCTAAACCACCAAAAACATGATATACAACTTCCTATAATTGTATGGAATACAAAAAAATAAAGAAATAACAAATTTTAATTAAATACAAAATTTTCTTTTAATAAAAAATACTTACATATATGGTTTTTGATAGAATACTTCCTGTACTCAATGATATTATACATGATAGTAACAGTAAAAATGTTCCTATCATAAATGCTGTTGCTAGTAATAGAATACTAGCTTCAGTATTTCTTGATAAATATGTTGGTGATAGAAAATAATTTGCAATAATACCAACAACAACAATTCCAAGAACCTAAAAAATAATTACAATATTTTTTAAAAATTTTATACAATTTTATCTCCAAATTATTTACAAAAAAAAATAAATAATTACCAATTGAAGAAACTTAAGAAGACCAGGACCAGTCTTTAAATATCCTGTATTAATAACAATGTATGAAGTATTGCCAGTTGTTGTTGTCGTACGTGTAATTGTTACTGAATGTGACATTTTGAAATTTTTTTAGATTTCTGAAAGTAAAATTAAACAAGAAAATAAAAAAAATTATATTAATATTTATTGACTTTTAAGGTAGGTACCTACAATAACGCTCTTTTAAATTAGTACACATATATATTCATATGATTATAATTACAAACAACTGTATAAATTTATATTAGTAATTTACTATATGATTTTAATATTAAATGAGTTTTCTAATTTAATAAGAACGTTTTTGTATAAATTATTGTTTAATGGTACCTACCTTAAATATTTTGATAAGATTTATTTATTAAACTTTTTTTTGTATTATTAGAATAATTCACGAGAGATTTTATTTTTCACAAAACTTTTTTAAATATAAAAAGAAATATTTTTTATTTTGATATTCTATCGAATATTGTTCCACTATAATTGCTTGTTCGTCTAATGAAATCCATAACTGCTTACAAAAATTACAGAACAGAGAAATGCGGATTATTTTTAAATTCAGCAGATTACACCTATACTTTAAAATGACTGGATATTAAGAGGAAATTTAGGCCAAATGTGCTCCTGGTTTTTCTTTAAAATGAAACATAAACTTCTCTCTAAATTCTTAAGCAGCAGACGTGCAGGATGTTCAACCTAATTATTCCCGTAATATTTTTAATTTTAAATTAAATCTTTTACGAACAGAGGATTAAACCTTGTATATATAATACAATATAATGGTTTAAAAATGTATAATCAATTGCCTATTAATATTAAATCTATTAACAATTTTGCGAAATTTCAATTGGAGGCCAATTCATTGAAATCTAAAATTTTGAATTAGGCCAATGTTTTAATATTTTGAAACAAACTCAGTATTTTTTTTAAAAACTTATTTCATTCTCAATTTATTTATTTCAAAATTGTATTAAAAAAAAAATAAAAATTTTCAAATTAATAACAAATTTGATTAGTCGCTGTAAAAAAATAAGCACTTAATTGGCAATTTAATTTACAACATATAAAACAAATGCAGTCTGGCTACATTATCAGTGTTAACTGCTTTTGCAAATGATACGTTTCCGATATTACAATCTATGAAGTATATCTGAGTAAATATACAAGTATATCTGAGTAAATTTACTAAATTTTAATTACATAGATTGTAAAACATGTGCGCAGATATGTGAAATTTGTAATAAAAATAAAAACAGCCAAACTCGCCTTTAATGGCTATTTCCCTCAACCACAGAAATAGTTGCTAATTAAAGGATCTAAAAATTATTGAAAATATTGTGATTGAATCAAACCTTTAATCAAAGAATAGGAAAATGGCACCTGTAATAATAATAATTATTCTAAAGATTTCAAACTTCTTCCAACACAAAAATTTTCATTATTTTAAATATCAAACTATGCTAAGCATTCAAAATTTAGAATTTCTTTAAAATTTGAAAGTAAAATTAAAATTATATACTATTTATATTTCTATACATGTATATAAGTATATATGTATATGGATAACATTCATATTTTGTATATAATTTAATTTTAAATATTATTTTACATATTGTGTACAGCTTGGATTTAAACTGATTATTTAATGATTTTCCATAAATACACATTTTTACTTTCAAAAGAAAAAACCACATGTTAAACAATTTTAATTTTTATTATCATTTGTTTTATTCATTTTTATATTGTCTTCTTTTATATTTTGGCGAAAATTTTTGTTTATTTTTCCAGTTTTTATTTTTTTTTTTGTTTTGTTTTCTTTTTTTAATTTTTTCAAGGTAATTTTATATACATGTGCTATTTTACTAATTTAAAGTTAATTTGTTTGCGCATATCTGATTCATTTTCACTTTCATAAATTTCAATGTGTACATTAATATTATTATACGGATATATATATATATATATATATGTATATGTCATATTATATTTTATATCATGAAAATATGTGCTTACAATATTGTACATTACAAAAGTTTGTAATAATGAAGATAATTATATACAAACTATACTATATGATTAGAAATATATAAAAGTTACAGTATAACAGTTTAATAATGTAAAACTGTCCTATACATATATGATATGAGTCAATCACAGAATCTTTCGGTCATTGTTTTATTTTTGTTTATTTGTGATATTGTTTTTTTTTTCTTTCTTTCTAATAGTTTTAAATAAATGGAACATGATATTTTTAGATGAATTTATTTTCAAATTTAATATTGTATGTTCTACTTTTTCATATATGCACGTATACCTACATTCATCCATATATTTTATACAAAATAAAAAAAAAAATTATTTAATTTTCTTTACTTCTCAAAATATAAACATGTATATTTTTAAATTACATACATACATACACATTTATTTATTATTAAATATACAATGAATTTCCATAGATTTTTCATCTATATAATCACTACACATTAACTTTAAGCAAATTAGAGGAAAATAAAATTATTGTTGGTGTAGGTGTTTTATCTTTATATTTGTTAAAAATTAAGTGAAAAAAAATTTTTTTCTAGAAATAAATTACTGTAAAAAATAAAAATTATAACTAGGATATTATTACTATATAAATATATATATATATATTAAATTAATAGGATTTACTTTAATTTTTCGAAAAATTTTATATACATATTTTTTAAGCTAAATAATGTCCGAATTTCTCGTACCGTGATTGATATTTCAACAGTAATATAATATATAAATCGGACCACAATTTGCATTTTAGATAGGTAGCGCATACTTGAACTAAAACAAAAATAAAAAAAGATAAGCGTATTCCATTTCAAAATCTCGTAACTCTAAGACTATTTACTCATAAGTTTTTGAAATTAGATACTGCAATGTTCTGAAATTTTTTTAAAGTATCGATTCTTTTGTATTTTAAATACAAATGCAAAATTTTGTTAACAAATTCCAGTTTTTTTCATTTGTTTTGAATTATACCAAGCTTTTGTTTAAAACAAAAACATCAATTAAATAAAAATAAATAAAAACCACTTAAATTGCTCTGCCTTGAAAATGTCATTCTCAACTTGAACTACCCATATATGTTGAATTGTAAATTGACATTACTTCAACTTCGATCTAATTTTCCAAATATTCTTACATAAATCTCTCTTTTATTCTTCTGAACTATTCATATTCCTCTCAAATTAATATTTTCATTAAAATAATATTTATTACTAGTAATATTAAGAAAATCCTGCAAATTATTAATACTAAAGTATAAAGGAAAAAAATTGATTGCCCAAGCAAAATTATTTGCAAATTGTTTTTTGTTTTTTAATTTTGAATTGTCAGAACTTTCTTTGAATTATTATAATAAAAATTAACAATAGGATGTTTGAACAAATAGAAAAAAATTTATTATACATAGAATATGACTTTATTAGTAATTTCCATAATTGCTATTGTAAAAAATTCGATAATAATGACACGAAACTCTCTCTCTTTCATTCATTTTATTTTAATATTTTAATGTCATTTATGTGATGTTCTATTTTAAATTATTAAATACTTTGTATATAATTAGTTTTTATATAAACTTTATTAGAATTATAGACAGAAAATGAAGCACAATTATGAATTTTTATTTGTAGTGAAATCAAAATATTTTCGTTCTATAATTATATTGTTCTGTATACCTTACTACATATTTTCGTTTTTAGTAAGTATTTATTTTTATTCAGTAAGTTTCCAAAAACTGCATTTTACTAAATTGTTGAAAATAGTCAAAATTTAAACTTTTTCGAAGTACAAATTTTTGTTCAATTTAACTCTGCACTTGTTTTCTATTCTCAAATGAATATTCAAAATTTTCTAAAAAGAATAATAGCTATATGAAATTCAATGTTCAATGTTCTTAATTATACGATTTCTACTTGTTTCTTTTTGTTATAAATAATAAAAGTTGAATTACCCAAAAAATAATCAAATTTTTCTAAATTAAAATTATACAAAAAATATACAATTTAATTATATTTTTTTGCGCTTGTATACTTGCTAACAATTTTAAAATACAAAAATCTAAAACAAAATAAAATTAAAAAAAAAGTCATTTTTTGTTCAAAAATAAAACTATTTTAGAAAAAAAAAAGAAATAAAATAAAAAAATCAGGAAATATCATATTAGAATTAAGATAATGATTACCTCATCATCATAATCACGATTTCTATATATATTATAATATAGAAGCCCCATTATTAGTGAGTGAAATCATCACGCAACTAATTTAAAATAATTTTTTTTTTGTTGAAAAATTTTTCAAAAGGGTTTTTAATTTTTTGTTACTATTTAGTAATTAATTTAAGAAAATTTTTATCTTTTCTCATCAAATTATTTTATTGTTTGTTTATTTATTTTTTTTTCTTTGGAACTGTCTATCTCTTATTCTGACGCATTACTAATAGGCCTTTTGACCCTGAACTTTTTTCTTGTTAATTTTTGACCATTCAATATTGTTTAGAATTAAATAAAGAAAATTTATTTAAAAATTAATGGTAAGTAAATATTCTTGTCTACTACATAACCAGAAGTTTTCCAACATTAAAAAAAAAAAAAAAACTAATTTAGCTCAATGAAAACCGCTTTTTTAATGTGCATATTTATTATATGGTATAGGAAAATATATTTATACTTTTAAACAACAAACAGAAGAAAAAATAATAATAATAAAATGAACATAAATAAAATTTGTGGGCGAAAATTTTGGTTAACATTCTTTTTTGGAGAAGAAAATTAGTACTAGTAGAGTGAAATAAATTAGAATTCAATTAAAAGTTTATGATAAATATTAAGATAATATTGTATTTAAAGTAATTGTATCAGTGTAAATAGCTAGATTCAAATAAATAATATTTGAGAATTTCGAGAAATTTATTGGTTTCAAATTTCTATTATTACTGTCGTAAATGTCTCCCTAATTAGTTTCGCTCTCAATTGTATAAATTGTATGGTTTTAGTGTGTTACTAGATACGTAAAATATTTAATTGTTCGACGCATTTTACATGACTATGTTGCCATAC